TATCGGTTGTAGACATCTAATTTTTGTGGGGTTTGTTTTTAATTTCTAATATGTGTTTTTAGCTTCCCACAAATGTTCTAAAAGGACAATTCTTCGTATTAATTAAGGGAATCTTAAACCAAAAGGGGTTCAATTATTTAAAAATTAACTTTTCAAAAATTCCTCCTCTGAAAATAATTTTGGCTTTGGAGGGTAGAAGTTAGCCTAAAAAGCACTATTAAAACAATCAATACAGAAAACTAACAATATAGGTAGGACTACAATTATTTTTCCAGAACATCAAAAAACATTTACTTATCCCTTGATATTTAACTATAGTGCTCAATCACATTTGTTTAAAAGAACTATCCATAAAAATTGGCACTTACTGTTACAAGACCCTGTTTTAGGCCAACTTCTACTCTCCAAACTCAAAATTATTTTTGGAGGAGCACCTACAATTGAACAGAAATTGGTCCATAGTTTTAAGCCCCCTGACCCAGAACGACACTTTTTAAATAACGAAAAGGGTTTTTACAAATGTGGGCAGTGCAATGTGTGCAAAACAATAGGACCACCATTTGGAAAGACTACAAGTTTTTAATTGAAGACTGCATCACGTGTCACTCAAAACAAGTAATTTATTTGCTAGAATGTAGATGCGGTCTTCAAAATGTGGGGCAAACCAGAAGAAATTTGAAAATAAGACTTAGAGAACATGCCTATAATCTAAAAAGAGGATTTTTAAATCACACCCTGTCTAAACACTTTTTAGAATGCCATGATATTAATCCTAACACCCTATAGTATTGTGGCATACAATTAATTCAATTACCCTGGAGAGGGGGCGACTTAAAAAAACATTTTGACCAAACAGAGACTTTCTGGATATCTAACCTTAAAGGACCACTAGAGTGCCAACGCTTTTCTCCAGCGCCGGTCTGCCTTGGTGCTGGGGAACTCTCCTCCTCCCGACGTCAGTGCTGAATGCGCATGCGCGTCAGGAGCCACAAGTGCATTCAGACGGTCAATGCTTTCATATGGACGTCCAGTGTCTTGTCACTGTGATTTTCACAGTGAGACGCGCGGAAGCGCCTATAGCGACTGTCAGTGACAAAAGGTGTTGATTCTCAAACCCGTCCGCACAGACAAACTGCAGGCCATCTGGCAGGGCCCATACCAGATGGTAGAGCAAAGATGCGACACCACCTATGTGATCGTCCCATGCTCCGGGGTAGGGAAGAGATGCATGCTCCATGTGAACATGCTCAAACCCTACCACGAGAGGACCGAGGACATGGCTGCCATATGCACGCCTGCCTCGGAAGATCAGGAGAATCTGTCACTACCTGATCTCCTAGAGCAGGAAGAACATACCGAGCCTTCCAAGGGGGTTCAACTGGGGGGAGCGGCTAAGCCCTCAAGAGCGAATCCAGGTACAGGAGCTGATAGTGGCGAAAGGTGCCACTTTCTCCAACTTGCCTGGGTACACTCCGCTAGCCACCCACTGAGTGGAAACCCCTGGACAGCTACCGATGCGGCAGACCCCATATCGGATTCCTGAATCCGTCCGGGAACATATGAGAAAAGAAATCAAGGAGATGCTGCAGTTAGGGGTTATTGAACACTCAGCCCCTGGGCATCACCGGTAGTCCTGGTCCCCAAAAAGGATGGTACAACACGATTCTGTGTG